GATGACTTGAATTGTCTAACTGAATTTGATTCTTTTACAAATTGAGGTAATTTATTGAATTTGTTTAAGCCTTTATGAAACATGCTATTCATCCCAAATTTAGTGTTAGTTTTTTTAATGTAAAAATTGTTATTACTTCTCGTATTGTAATCATGAACTTCATTATTTCTTACTAAGAACTTATGAAAGTAACAGGGTAGCAATCCTTTTTGCAGCTTAAATATAAAGATCATAGTCATAAATATTATACGTTCTTCAACTGAGAACCAGTTTAGACACTCTAGCATCAATTTAATTTCGTCAGTTTCTAGAACAATACTCGTCCTCTTCTCGTGTCTACAATTACCAATGAATCTCCTCATCCATGCAGTTGATCTTATCAATTTCATGTATTTTGAGAATCTACATACGTCTGGCAAATAATCTGCGGAATGCGGTTGTATCAGTAGTATACTTTCTTTCTTGACTTCCAACTCATTTATACTATCTTCTTCGTTCATGTTGTCTTCTGATTCTTTCGGCCAGAATTCTTCTGAAAGTTCTAAATAGGTTGGTCCTATTAGCCATCTACTCTTACTATTTGAGATCTCCCTCGTGCTCTCATCAGCCACATTCATTTCTCCAGGAACCCAACGCCAACTTGAAATTTCGGTTAGTTCGGTTATCTCTCGGACCCTGTGGGCTACAAAGGTTTTATATCTCTTATTTTGTGATCGAATATAACGTAGTACTGTCTTCGAGTCTGTCCATTGAAATGATGCAGTGATCTTTACTTCTAAGTACTTTCTAATAGCGTTTATCAACCTACTCAACATAAGAGCAGCTTGAAGTTCGAGTCTTGGAATAGTCACAGGTTTCAATGGCGCTACCCTTGTTTTAGCACTAACAAAGGCAACTGTGAAACCATTACCTTGTCCAATGCGGAGATAAACTACTGCAGAAAAGGCTTTCTCGCTGCTATCGCAAAATCCGTGAAGTTCTACAATGTTACTCACAGAAATGTTAGGTCCATAACATCTTGGAATGGTGATATCTCCAATTTTCTTCAATTCACAAACAAGTTGAATCCACGTAGTGTTCATTTCTTGGGTTATGGTATCGTCCCATCCTATACCAATTCGCCATATTTGTTGCAGAAAAATTTTGAATTTGACTACCAGAGGTGCGAGAAATCCAAGTGGATCGAATACAGACATGGTTAATTTCAGAGCCTCCCTTTTTGTCGGAATTTTCGTACATTTTATTATTTCAGGATTCACTTTGTAACAGTTCATAGAGAAAGTAAAGTTGTCGCTTTCTGGATTCCACCATAGACCTAGTATTCGCTCCAAAGATGTTTTACAAAATGAGTCAAGGTTCTTGTGACTTTTTGCTCGTAAATTTTCTGGAATAGTTGACATAACTCTTTCTGAATTACAAATCCAATTGCAAATTTGAAAACCACCATTTTTGTGCACCTCGATAACTTCAGAAATAAGTTGAATGGCTTGATCTTCTGTATCCGTTGAGTTAAGGTAGTCCATAATGTTTCTCAATGATGGCCTTGACTGCTTCAGGATATTCCTTTGCGTGATCTTCTGCATTTTTATTTTTCACGTACTGTGCCATACAAGGTGAGGATGTCGCTCCGAAAATCATCGCCTTCATCTGATATACATCTGGTTTCTTCTTTCTGTCCATTCCTCTCCGGAAGAATCGTTGAGCTGAACAATCTTCATCGAGGATCAATACCTGGTGAAACATTTCCTTAATGTCGCCACAGAAGGCTACTTTCTTTTGTCTGAACTTCCATAAAATGGCTAGTAGACTCCTGAGCATGTCTTCACCTTGTAAGAGGTTGTCGTTCAAGCTAACGCCTCCAGATTTTGCTGCTGTGTCGAATACTAAGCGCAATTTGTCTGGCTTATTGGGATTAATAACGCCGAAATAAGGTAAATACCACGTTTTTGGAGATTCTTGAGCTGCTTCTGCAGGACTAAGCTTCTTCACGTAGCCCTTCTTCAGGTATTCTTCAACACATTTGATAAGTCTCTCCCAGCTACCTCCCATATGTGGTGATGCTGGTGGAATGAATTTCCAATCAATTTTCCTTGTGGTCATATATTCGGAGACTTTATCATTTTCCAGTTCCTCCATGGCCTTTTTCAGTTCTGTATTCGCTGAGTGAAGGTTGGTTCCATTATCAGAATACATCTCTTCTGGACAGGAAGTTTGAGGAAGTTTGGGTAGTTCGGGGAAGTTTGAGGAAATTCGGGGAAGTTTGAGGATGTTCAGTGAAGTTTGAGGAAGTTCGAGGAAGTTTGGGAAGTTTTGACCCATGGGAAGTTTGATGTACAATTTTTTTCGCCGTGATTTGCCACTCGGTCAGAATGTAACCATGGATAGATAAGCAAAGGGTGACAGTTTGGGATGAAATAATTATTGCTTGTCAGAATGAATCACTCTTTTAAATGCATTGTTTTTTATGCTTCATGAACGTTAAATATTGTAGCATTTCTTTCATTCTGATTGCAGTATGAAACATAGGCCATTTTTATGTGAATTGAAATGTTCAGTGTGTCCAATAAGTGAATGTAAGGCATTAAAAATCTCAATTTTCGGCTGGAAATCCCATTTTATCATCTTGTAATTCAATTCTGTTGTAATCAACTTCCCTATACCAAAAATTTTGGATGTTCCAAAGTAGGCTGTGCAAAATATCAAAAAATGAATTGAAGTTGTTCACTTTCAAATTCTTCATCAGCAGAAGTGCAATATGGCTCATGTTGAGGATAATAATTAATATTTCATTCTATCACATTGGCCTTGAATAACTTGAACCAACATTGACAAATTCTTCCTTATTATACCAAACAGGAGCCATAATTATTTGTACTTTTGTAGAAGATGAATCTCTAATTCATTTGTCCATAGATATTTTGCTCAGCCTATTATAATTAAATTGAAACAGATACAGGGTGATCAGAATTCTGAATCTTGAACCAACCTGTATTCATTCCAATGTAATGTCAGTACATAGTAAATTGAAAAATAAGACAGGGACAGTATGATTTAAGTAGGGATATGAAAGCCATTTTGAGGGATAATGAATAGTTTCCACATCAAAAAATCATACAGTTGAAACATCTGGATTTTGAACTCCCTATATCTCTATAATCATTCTTGCTAGACCCCAAGTGTGATGCATTGATGAAATCAGCTCTTCAGGAAGAATCTAAAAATGCATTGAAATATATTGGTGTTCCATATGAAATATCAAAGTTGCAACTTCTTTCTGATTGATTGATAGACCTAGAGGCACTACTTGGGTAACCAAATTTTCAGAATGATCCATTGTCAGGTTCTCCATAAACGTCTAAGGTACCATTGACCATCACCTACCCTGTATTGATTTGAATTGTTATTTTTGTTAAAGTGAAAGTAGAAGAATCTTATATGTGTTCATTCTTATTTGGAAATGAAAGTCCCAATTAGTCTCAATTTCCTCGTCAAAAAGGTACAGTTTCATGGAGATTTCCATGGAAGAATAATAAATCAGAAAGCAAGTTCATCAACTAACAGGTTATTTGAAGTTATCCCAGTAATGAATAGTGAGTCAGTCTAACATACTATACAATCCACTTCTTTTTGTCCATTAATTAATGGTGAAATCCTACCGAGAAAATAATGGTTTGTCACCATTTCAACCATGCCTAATTCTAGAACTTGTCCTGGACCCAATTTTCTCCTTATCCTTATCCTGTTTTATTGAAAGCAATCATAATTCATTTCAAAAGGTTACTGAAACTTCAACAGAATCTCTATACTTTTATGTCCAGGAAGCTATTATGGCAGGGTTGATTATTGAACAAGGTGCTGTTCTCTTGGATGTATAAGTAGAATAGTGAAATACTGGTACAATGAAAAAAACTGTATAGTAAATGTACATGACATATTTTGCAAACACATTAGCTTCTTCAGGTGGAATACTGGTCAAATAAAAAAAACTGTTCTGTTTTATGATTAAGAATGTTGTGGACCAGGTTGTGGACATCTTATAGTTCTTGCACTTTTTTACATTGACCTTGATTGACTATGGATTTCCATCAAGTAACAGCAGAGTAAATTCAAAAATGAGTGAAATATTAGAGATTCATAGATTACTAGAAGGAATTATCTTCTAGGAAATATACAAAGTCGTGCATATGGAACTAAATGTTATTATATTAACACCTGGTTTATTTGGAGTTTCATTGTGTTACATACTTCAACTTATATGCAAAATAGAAATAGTGAAACAGAGGTTCATGATACCTTTGATATCAGTTAAGATGGCTACAGTCCTTGTGGCAATCTTAATATCAGTATAGGTTCTTCAGAGAAAAAGAAGACTGTAGTCAAGACTGGTGGAGCAGATATGCATATATGTATGCATATGAAATAAAATGAGAGAATAACACCCACAATATCAATTATTCCTGAATGAAGTGTTAAGCACTTGGGTATGCAAGTATTTATGAATCTATCATGATACATTCAGATACATTTTCATTTCAATTGGTATTGTAAAAATATTGGGGATAAAATTCTCAAATCTTGAATACACACATACACCTATCCCAGCATCCCAGCAACAATATTTTTTTTATTGGTGGCTTCACATACCTGACTCATGAAACTGGTGATGATAATAGTAGAAAAATTATAAACTGTGGATGAATTACAAGATCTATCATCTCGGATTCAACTCAGATGTAACCTTCTAGGAAAACATCCAGGGAAATCTAATATATGTAAAAAAAATTAACACCAAGTTTGGTCATCCAGAATGAAATCTTAGATCTACTGGTTTTCACACAATTTCAAAAACAACTTCCTGTTCCAAGACCTTACCTTGGACCTCACAATAAAATTCTTTAGGGAATTCATAACTTCTGTTGCTTCAGTAGTTTGGTGATACATTTTTCAGGTCCAATGCATGAGATGTACCCACCATAAATAGTTCAGTTTGCTGGACTTACCAAGATCCATTTTGAGTTGCATCTCATTGTAAGGTTCTGTATCAGTAGGCAAGTTTATAATGGTGTAACAAGATTGTTCAACAGCGGTCATTTTCTTCTGTTCAATGTCTGAAAAGGTAGGAATATAGTTTTTTTGTTGATGTTTTTCTGGTCATTGATCGACTACTGGATAATGTCGTTCATGTCTATATTGATAATAAAGGTATTTATGAACTCACTAGTTATGTAGTTATGTGTAGAGGAATATCACTTCCAGTTTATATTCAAAATTTTTCAAATTTGATAAATAATAAAAACATCAACACGTAAACTCGAACGTGTCAAAGATCTGCCAATGATTTGCCAGATCTGCCATCTGTCAGTGGCAATGAAACTTCAAACTGTCAATCCTCTTGAACGCAGTGTTGCCAAGTGTGACGATGTATCGCATTGACGGCTATATTTTTGGTGAAATGCGACTTTTGAATTTAGCTTCTGGCGACAATTGTGGCGACTTTTTTTTGAATTGACTCGGCCGTTACTTGATGGAAATCCATGATAAATGTAAAAACTTTACAAACGATAAGATTTCCACAAAATTTATTAAACACACGACATGTTTCGCTAACACAGTAGCTTCGTCAGGTGATATACTGGTACAATGAACTAACTAGTTCATTGTACCAGTATAATTATCATAGATGATCGCGTGTGTGTTGTAGACATTTTCAATCTATTACCAGTATTAGCTTGTATTGCATAGGGTCCCTTGATGAAAATTGACGTTAAAGTCATCATTAAAAATTTTAATAATAGGAATGTACAGGGTGTTTACTTGTTGAGAAAGATCATATGGCGAACGAGTTTTGTGATTATATGTTCCGATTTTAATCAAAATTGGAAGGTATCTGGGGTTTTTCGGGGTTGGAGATGATTGTTTCGTAAAACTTGGAAAATTCAAGACGACGGGTCCAATATATAGCAGAAGAAATTTCTAATCAAGATCTGATTCTATTTGGGATTGGTATCTAGGGGTTTTCGGGGTCGATCTTTATGATTTTTTGTCAAAATTGGGGAATTCATAAATTATACCGGCCATAGTTTCAGAAGAACCTCGGCAAGTTCAATTGCAAATTGTAGAGGAGGCATTATTCTTGCTTGGAAGTCTACGAATATCGCTGAAGGGTATGTGCAGCAGTCTCTCACAAAATAACGAAAAATTTCGAACCAAATTGTGAGTCACTGAAGTTAATGAAGTTGATTGAAATCAGCCAAGTACGAATTCTGTATAATAATGTTTTTTATGAAAATATCACGAAATCTGCATTGGTTATATCCAGATCTCACTTCTAGTAGTATTCAAATAACCACTGCTCAAAACTGCACTCTTAACATTATTTTATATAATTATTACACTACCACAAATTGAAAATATGTATATAGGATGCAAGTGTGAAAATAACTTGCCTATAAGTTATACTGTGTATACCTACTTCTTTGTTACTTTCATCAATGAATTATTTGAAAATAACTATTCATGGGGGTAAAATATATACTATATTCTTTATCTCCCTGCACATTTATGTATTACTTTATATCAGCCAACTTTTCGTCCTAGACAAAGTTTTATACATAGTCACTCCATAAATTCTTCTCCGAGTTGGATTTTCGATAATATAATAATTAGAACACGCATGACATGAGTACAGTAGTTTAGATACCCACATCGAGGTTTTCACTATTTCTCAATCATAAGGCTCAGCTCATTCAGCTCATAGATAAACTACTGCTCAGCTTGAAATCAGAATTCATTCAGTCAATTCAGTCAACCTTGGTATACAATCTAAGAACAGTCTCTTTTGGTGAAATTTATTAAGCTTTCAGTACGGTTCATATGTTCCCTACCTTGCTAAGATTATGCTGGAGTAGTAAACTCTAAAACTAGAGCATTGTTCATCAATATCTTGGTATAGTTGAATCAGGAATTCCATATGGAAATTACGTATGATACGCCAATGACCTCAATATAACCTAAAAAACAACAAATGTCAAAAATCTAGTGGTTTTCCTCAAGGATTATAGTATACTCTCCTTGGGTTTTCCTAACAAGAATTGAATAATGATGGAACTATATATAACTGTTTCACAAACACTTTGGAGTGAGACGAGACGAGGATCTGTCCGTACCTCAGATCAGAGGTCCGTACCCTGTTAAGATGACTTTAACTTCAATTTCCATCAAGGGACCCTAGTATTGCAAAAGTGGCAGAAGAAATTTCAATAAGGAATGACAACATTTTATAATGAAAACTATGTGAGATTGCTATTTACCTGAAAAATCATATTCCTTCGTCTGTCGCTGCATTTTTTGTGCATTGTACAATAACAGTACAATGAGCTAGAAGGCATGCTTGAATTAATGAATGGCGCAAAAAACACGATTCGTATGCCAAAATATTGTGAAAAACTATTTCAATCCTTCGATCTTCGATTCCTCTGAGGCAGTAGGGACCCTAGGCACAGTAGAAGAGGCAGTAGAGTAGGGTCAGTTGGCGTCGGGACCTTTGATCTTCGTGGCGACGTTTGATTTTTTTTCCCAGTGCGCATCGACCATCGACTGCGCGTCGACAGAACTTGTTGTTCTGTGGCCGAACGTCAACTGAAGCGTAATATACGAGGCACAATCTATTAGACTAGCGTCTGCGGAAGTAATAACTCCGTGGTAGGGGAACGTTAGTTACCTTGTGTCGAGTCTAATATAAGGAAGGAATTTTTTTTAACAATCAATCGACCTAGATGAACCTTTTTTCTTGAAGAAGGAGAATTTTTCTTGAGGAAGGAAAATATTGTTTCTGCATAAAAAATGAGAAGGCGGTACATATACTAAAAATTGGAACGATACAGAGAAGATTAGCATGGCCCCTGCGCAAGGATGACACGCAAAATCGTAAAGCGTTCCACATTTTCAGTATATGTAATCGCTTCGGCGGAGTTATTACTTGCGCCTGTCCGCAGACGCTAGTGGCACACTCTCAGTTCACAAACATACGAGGATGTTTTTTTATTTTATTTCCCACGAGAAAACAATCATGGAAAAATATTGAAAAGTGCGAACAGTTGCTATGGTCTTTTAACGAATAACATGATTTATAAATTCATTATGAGGTAAATGAAACACCACAGTTCTATGAAAACTTTATTATGACTAACGAAAAAGAACATATAATGTTATAGATGGAACAAAACAATATAAACTGAATAAAAGTACAAATTCTACATATTTTTGAGAATAACCAATTTTGGCTTCATTTTGTTAGGTGAGATTGGTTTCAATTCCCTTTTTGCAAATTTTATAGTATAATATATCCTAACACACGTATGAACAATGGAAGTAAATAATCTTTTGGAAAATCTTCACATGGGTGTGAGAAGCTTATGGATGAACATTTTTGTTTTAGTCTATGTCCGACCTTTCCACCAATACACTCATCAAAATTTGACACGAATTCAGTTTCTAGAGAAACAAGATAATTCAGAAATTCATCAGGAGGCATTTTCAAGTTACCAAACATATATGTCTCTATTCTTATTTCCATATATGCTTTGAATTGATAATATATATATTAGTTTGATCTAGGGTACTTTTAGAAGATAGACTTTTAGATATTTCACATGAATGTTTTTTTTTCAAGCATTTTGTTATCAGGTACCCAGCCACATATGTAAGACAATTGCCTTCGGCGGTGGTCAAGTCTGAATAATCATTTGTGTCTACTTTTGAAGGAGCAGAGTACGACTTTTTAGTGTTTGAAAGAATTTCATAATTTTTCAAAGGTACTGTTGAAATTGTGGACAATATTTCATCAAAATCTTCCAAACAGTTTGAACCTTCCGAGCTTTGTAGGTATTCTACTGAAGACCAAATAACTTCTTGAATACTCTCGAAAACTGTATAGGAGTGGGATTTTTTGCAATTCCAGAAGCATTCCTGACCTTTCCGAAATAGTTTTCAAGACAATCCTGACTGAGGTTTCCAGTGAAAACATGATGTATCTTTCTAGATTTGAGGTCCTTCCATATCTCTAAGAAAGCTGCAATTGTCAATCTCCATCTAAAAATGAATTTCATAGAATTATCTTTTGCTTTTGAGTTAGTGAGTTTGAGATTCTCAAATAAATTCGCCATTTCTTTCAAGCAAGAAATTTGAGATTCAGTTCCCATAAATGCCCTATTAAACGGTTTACAATCTCTGAAAGAACTTGAATTGAATATATCGAAGAGTTATTGATCCATTTTCTCCATGAATGTAGCTGTACCTGAAGATGCACTGAGAGAAAACTTGAGTTATCATAATTGGAAATCTGATAACCGTTATTACGATATCTGCAATAAATAGGGGACAGATGTGTTCATTATCTACCATAGATGAAGTGAATTTTCAGGTGACTTGTAGTTATGGCAGCTTATTCAATTTGCAAACTTGTATAAAAACACCGCTGGTGAATAACTACTACTTGTTCTAGTTTCTATGATAACACAGAATGTTAAATAGGAATTATACCCATAAAATGTTGCAGTAACTCTCCACTCTACAGTGGTTATTAGACTATCGACATAAAACAGCATGTTTTTATTACTGGCACAACCATCTTGAGGTAACGCAGTAATACGTCTCATTTTATTATAGTTATCTGATATCTGCATGAAACCTGATATTTTGACATGCTACTCTAGTATATTCATCAAACAGTGGTAATAAGGTTATCTAATCAACATTATTCGATGATATGCATTATGAAACCGTGCTTCGAATTACTGCAATGAAAATAAATATCCTATCCACACTATATCACTTTTCATGATGCAAAGTTATTGTTTTAAAAAAAAAGTATACCTTTATTCTCTGAATTGAAATATTTGGGTATCTGTGGAAGTTTTCTGACATTACTCATTGATTTTTTCGGAGATATATCATCTATATGCATTACTGACGAATTTATTAAGAAATGAGAAGTTGAATACTTATATTTACCCTTCCTTCGGAGTTTTGTCAATAAACCTTCCCTCACAGAAACCCAGATATTTTGAGTCAGAATCTCATCGATCATTTTGTTTTTGAAATAAACCAATTTTAGGCCGTGAAAAGTGGGTATGGAGAATACTTTTTTCATTGCAATAATGCAATGCACGGTGTATTCCACAGATCGGTTCACAGCCAGCACTAAAACAAAACTTTGCTACATCACAGACATTCACCTACAAGACACGGCTCTATCGAATCGGACGATCGAAACCATTGAACAATAATTGAACACGGGCACCCATGACCGAGAACAGCAGTGAAATGAACGCGATCTGTATCTTTGTCAGCCCCAATACTAATGAAACACTAGAGCGAAATGAGCCGAATTACGATTGTCGAATGATTGCCTAATAACCGTCATACATGGTGAATTGCTAGAGTTATTCGTCAACGTACAATGCTAGAAACCCAAACAGCTATGATTATTGGGAGAAACATTATCTGAATTCACCAATGAGCATAATTCACAAAACGAGCTATGTCAATAAAAAATCTAAATAGACTCGAATTCATAAAATTCTCATAATGTCATAACACACCTGCGTTATGATGGTAGCAAATGTCCATTCAAGGGTATTACAAATGATTTGAGAAATCGATTTTTATAATTACAGAATGTAGAGAATACTGTTGTAATAATAAAATGATCAGGAATAGGAGATTTCCTTATAATGGTTATTACAATCAGAGCTGGTAGATATTTTTAATATCCAGTTTCTCTCAGTGTGACAAAGGAAGTTGGCCGAAGCTGATATATGTACGCATAGCTACAACCACAGAATTACCGAATACCTGAGCTGCCAGGCGTACGTTCATTTTTTAAAAGTTCGAAGGATTGATGTGGGCTTCGGTTAATTTTGGAGATAAACGATATTTTTTTATCTTATCCATCTCATAAAGCTTCACCAAATGAGTTTTGTTTGTAGTTTCATTCCCATATATGTCATGTTATATATAGGAGAAAAAGTTATTTCGAGTAGATTTTAATAAATGTGGTGGATCAAACATGTAACATATCTTTGAATCGCCTACGAAGAAGTATGGCTATGGCTAGGAAACTAACCATTCAAGGTAATCGTAGGGAAAGAATCATTCTTCAGACGATTTTTCTGCAAACTTGAAAATTGTTTGTCCTCAAAATGTAGAGTGCATAGCCTCAGTTTGCTGAAACATTCAGCCGAAGAAAACTTGCTGTACTGATGATCTTCAACAAACTTGCAGTACTCTTTCCATTTGGCACACCTTGAACACAAAAAAATGTCTCATTATTGCATCATCAGTTATTCAACCAACTACATATATACACAATTAATCAGGTTTTATTATTCACTCATGTCTAGTAGATGAGCATTTCTTAAGGAAAAATCTGATGGCTATAGAACGAATAAATAAAAAATTTCGCAGTTATCTGTTGCGGCCGTGGAAAAAGTATAGTGTACAACTCGTACGGAATGCTGAATGAATTGACTATCATTTCGTTCTCGTTAAACAATTACACTATTTCGCTTAGTTTACTGTATCATTATCAGGCTTGTTCGCGTTCAAAATATAAACAGCCCGAAACCATCAGGAGCATGCGCAATTTCACAGAACTGGACGTATTTTTCAAGTTCTGTGGAACTGCGCAAGCTTGGGATGATTTCGGACTGTTTATTTTTCGAACGCGAACAAACCTATTATCAACCATAGACCACCCATAGACATTACCTATTCAAAAATTGAGGCAGCAAAACAAACATGGCGGAATTTAAAAATCAGATGCTTATTTTCATCCTCTTTGGGGAATCGAAATAAACTTATTCCAGGATCTCCACTAACACTTTCGCAACCGGGAGCATGACAATGGTATGACATAGTTGAAATAAACAATAATTGCACTAACCACAGATCAAACTAACTGCACCAATACAATTCTAACAACAATTCACAACTGCAATAACTTTATCACTCCTTCAATATTCACTCAATACTAATGCAATTCCTTACATTACAGAGTCCCACTCATACGTTCGGCGAAAGGTTCGGCGTCTCCGATCCCATCCGAATATTGATATAGAAAGTACCGAAACGGCAGAAGCAGTCAATTACGCATGCTTTCGCCCTCCTTTCGCCAATCTCCCGAGAACAGTGAGAGCAATGGTTCCGTCGATCTTCTAATAGATGGCGACATTGCACAATTATGACTTCTGTCAGTTTTGAAATTGTCGCAGATTTTTCGAATTCCAGAGTTGTTTAATCCCACTGTTACATATGTTCCGCGTACCTAAAATGGCATTTACCATTTTATTTCCACTCGTCACAGCAGCAACAGCAGCATCACCATCTAGTGGGAAAATGTAGAATCAAAGTCTAGGTCGTTGTGACGTAGAGAAATCATAGTCGAGTGATTTTTCTGAATTTTTCAATACGTAATAATGGCTGAA